GCTTTCTTTAGGGAATCTTATTTTCTCTATTTCAAAGAGCTTACATCTATCCGCAACATTTTTGTATCTACTTTAGCTGGAGAGGTATTGTTTTACTTGTCTGGATTACATTGTTGAGAAATATTTGTAAATGTTACTTTATGTGCAATTTAATGAATAAATAAAGTTTCCACTAAGTATAAATTTAAAAAAAGAATTGCATCGGTAGCTTTAAAAGCAAACTCTCCACCACTACGCTAATTAATGCAGAATTTGATGTGTATTCGAACACATAACTTGTATATATCATTAAATTACATTTTAAAAATCTTATGTAATAACACAGATTATGTTTCACGTTTACTTCAAAGCGACTTTATGAACTTGCCAGGTTTAATTTCTACTTTGTGTTTTGTGCTCAAGAGTTGACGGAGATGCAATTTGAACAGAATAACGTACACATAAATCATGAATATCTTAAGAATAGAAGAGAAGATATTAAAAGACAAGATATCAAGGCTTCATTCGAAAGATATCACTTAGTTTCCTCATCAGTTGTATAAAGCTAGCACTACCGATATCTAGATATGGAATATCCTGGTCGTGCATACTTGTAATATATATATTTTGAATCGAAGCGCTCAAAAACTTTAATATTGTCAAAAACTTTATCCGTGGCGTCTCTGATAGGTTTTACCACAGAACGACTTTATAGCACGGCAACACTTTCGTTATGAAATGAAACTCGATATATTTTCAAATAAGGTGACAGTTCTTTTTCTAAAATTAGGACCTTCACATCTACCACCCTTACTCTTATATTATTATAATCATTTCATTTTTCATTCCTGCGGAAAAAGTGTAGGCACGTGCCTAAAGGAAGCTACGCCACTGATATGTAATAGTTACCGTACGAGGAATAGGTCTGCATAGTATTTACAGACCCGGGTGGCGATTTGAAGACCGAGAGAGCGTAGCGATCGAGGTTTTTAAAAGGCCACCGGGTCTGTAAATACTATGCAGACCTATTCCGAGTGCGGTAACTATCTTACCTACATGCTCTTTTGTTTTTCTATCCATACATCAGTTTTTAGCTCAGTATTTATTAATATTACTCACAACAAGAAACATATTACTTATGTACTTTATCATGTTTAAGAAAGCATTCCAAAGCCAAGCAAAGATACCATCCGCTACGCTCTTGTAATTCATTCGTTCACAAATCAGGTGTTATTTGAATATTCTCGTGATTTTCGTGGGGTTTCATTAGGTAATGTACATGTTGAGTTGAGTCACAGAAAATGAAAACAGAACTTGTCGAGTAGGGAAAGGTAAGATCATTATTTTGATATATGAATACATAACATATTAATAATATAAACAAAATACTGAGGAAGATAAAAATGTTTTTCTTCTAATCATAAAAACAAAAACGGAACACTTTATCTTTATATATAATAAATTTCATGGTAAATAGATTGATCAGGCTATTTCTTATATAATTAAAAAATATACGATTTTTTTCAAAGGAAAGTAAAAAGACGGGGTTCTATGAATAAATATTAGTAATACATGTAGTTACACCGTTATGTAAGTTGGGTTTTGTTGTTGTTGTTTTTTATGATGGCTGATTTTAAATGTTCTTAGAATTTCATCCATGCATATTTGGAAGAATTTTCTTTCCTCGTATTCTTAATTAGCATTATCCGTTAAGCACGCGGTCTATCTATGGAAGCACAATCGTTTTCTTGTACTGGTATACAAAATCAAAAATTGTAATGTAAAAATAACTGGGAAAAAAATAAGAAAACGGTCTTATACTTAAGATGAACTATACTCTCATCTGAAAGTAATATTTTGGGAAAGAAAGATGCAGAACTTGACTTTGATTCGATATGCACCAATAATATAATCGTCATATTTATCCTATGATGCAGAATTGTTAAAATAATGCAGAATTGTGCAAATTCAGACAAAGTTGTGGAAATAAATACCGAAAACTAGTATCTTATGAAGCTATATAGTTCGGCAAATGTGTTTGGTATACCGAAAAGCAAACTTTAAAGAAGGCTTAATGTGCGTTGTTACACTCATTAAATATCGGCGAAACACAACACCTCAACGCCAGAACAGTAGCCAGTTCGTTTTTTCTCACAAATAATCTGGAATATAATTTATGAGGGTACTTACAGCCGTATGCGCTAATTTTATTTCGATTAATCTTTTTAAAATATATATTGACCCTTTTTCCTATTCAAAGTGGGCATTATCCCCCCCCCCTCCCCCACAATTCAGCGTTATTTTACGGTGAATATTGTGAACTGTAATACAAACGAGTTTCTCGACTTCACATATTTTCTATTGTATAGAGAACAATAGAACAATAACCGGTCGGTATCTATTTGCAGACCTGTTAACCGGTCGGTAAGTGATTTACTAGACCGCTTTTAACAAAGGAGCCGGTAGGTAAGTATCATTAGTCGCCGGTAGAAACCGGCGACTATATTTGTAACAGTTTAATATTATACCTATGGTAGGAGAAGGCATTAATTTCTGTAAATAAAAGCATTACAATTACTGAACAATTAAAGACTACAATTGTTTTCAGTAATCTCAAAAATTCAAACATACAATAATGTTGCTCAATGAAATGAAATATTCAAATATTGACATCGTAAAAAGCAACATTACAATTTTTATAAAATGAATAAATGACGTATCCCTATGGACCAGTCATTTAATTTAGGGATGCTTTTACTTTTTTTTAAGTGTCAAGCGTTGCTATTTTATGATAAATAAATCATGCATGATATTTGAAATGACACATTTAAATTATCTGGTTGTTTGTATCTTATGAGACCTATTCTAATTTTTTATCTTATTTATTATAAACAGTTTCTCCCAGAATCACGTGACTACACGTTGTATATTATTGTTATAAAATCTATTAATAGTAACAGTTTCTCCCAGAATCACGTGACTACACGTTGTATGTTATTGTTATAAAATCTATTAATAGTAACAGTTTCTCCCAGAATCACGTGACTACACGTTGTATGTTATTGTTATAAAATCTTTTAATAGTAAGAAATGGCTGATAAGACATCATACAGGTAATTCGTGAATGGTTGGCAGCTGATAAAGTGCAAATCAAAGTAATTTTGTATGAAAAATCTCGGTATGACAGTAGGGGCCGGAATCGTATTGGATACAAAGAGAAAACTAATAAACCATCTTTGTGTTGATAGTTTATTGCACTGAAAGGCAGTTAAACGTTACAGTAACTTTATCGTATGTAACGACAGGAATATTGATTTCAGCTAAATAATTTTTTTTTTCGATAGTGCATAAGAATATTTTTTTTATGCAGACACCACTTTTACAGTAGAATTGCATTGTTTTATGCAATAATTAAGCAAACATATTTTCATAGTCACTTTGCAAATATTTGATGATCGGTAATTATCGGATGCTGAAGAAAACCATACGTATAACGGTATATGTATAAAGTAGAATTACAAGTAGAATTATAATCATATCACTTGCTTTACAAGCCTCGATGACAAGGTGTTAGATTTTAAGTTAGTTTCAAATTGAAGACTGTAGGTTCGATAAAGTGATTTTTTATGGGTTTTTTTTTATAATACTTTTTGTATTTTGCAAAACTTGACCGTTTATCAAAATTATGAAATAAAAAAGTGCTAGAAATGAAACACACGATTTATCAACTTATGTTTCATAAAGTTAAAAGATATAATAAAAATCAATTTATGAAAATTACAAACAGGATTTGTCCGAGATTCGAACTTGCGCCTACTACATGTAGGGTACAACTTCGTCATACTTACCACTAGGCCATCAAGCAGTATTAATTGATATAATTTTACATGTAATTATACTTACAATAAAATCGTTAACAATAATAATAATAAGTTATGTAAGCAAACGAAACAGCTCCCGAAAATTATTGAGTCTCGGGTAAATATTGCCAAACAATACTTGCTTATTTAATAATGATAACATTTTCTTGACAAAATTGCTAAGCAAATTTGCTTTAAATATGATGTTTTATTATAACATAACATAAATTTATTGCATAAAACTCTCAGCAAGAAAGATATAATTGTGGCAAGTAAATGATTACGTGTTTATGAATAAACATTACTCAACTTATTGTTCCTCTTTTTTATACTCGAACCATTAAACTGATATTTTCTTTTATTTATGATAATACAATCATATTTCTATCCGGCGACTTGATGCTTTAGCATCAAAATCTCTACTTGTTACTCTATTTTGGTAAATATTTATCATTTGACAGTTAAAAAGTGCTTGTATCGCGTAAAATCAAACCGTACGCGCATCGCCACAGCGCATGTTGTTTACAACGTGGGGTACCCAACGGGAAAATTTAGTGTGTATATTACCCGTCTGGCTCGGTAATATCAATTTCTTTCGGGTGATCAATATCCAATCCAAAAGGCGGAAAAAATCTGGAAGGGTAATAAATATATAAACAACATGCGCTGTGGCGATGCGCGTAGGAAGGGTAATAAATCCACATTTATCACTCCAAAACCAAAAAAACATATAACTCTCAATAGTTAGAAGTTAATAGCAAGAAAATGGATACAATATCGCATGTAATAGCTGCCGAATAAACACACATATGGTGTGCGAGGTAAACATATGATGAAGGTAGATGCAATGCAAGATTCCAATCATACGCAAACTTTCCGAGTGAATCGGTTGCTAGACCATTACTGTATCTCCCCACCAACACCTTGATACGTCCTATCACCAAATTAGGTCAAATTCAATTTGAATACGTATATTATTCTATTTATAATCTGCTGGGTTTCCCAATCGTTTTTTAATTATAATCAGCTGGTTTAACCGTTACACATAAATAGATTTCCAGGGTTTTCTCTAATTTTTACATGCATATATAAATCCCCGATTTGAGGCGTATCATCATTAACTCTACATGGTTAGAAATAGCAACAAGTATGGATACAATATCGCATGTTATAGCTGCGCGAGGGAAACATATGATAAAGGGAGATGCAATGACCACAGAATGGGCAAGATTTCAATCATACATAAACTTTCCGAGGGAATCAGTTGCTAGTCCATTACGGTTGGCAAATGCAGGATTCTATTACAGTGGATCAGGAGAAGAAGTTGTATGTTTTTGTTGTGGGCTGAGAACTGGTGTTTGGACACAGGAAGAGACACCATTAGATGTTCATCAACGCCTTTCTCCACATTGTAGGTAGGTTTATTTGTGGTGAAGAAACTACTAATGTTGCCGTTAATGGAGAAAATAGGCTGAAATCAGTTACAAATTGTTCAAAAGCTTCAGATTTAACCAATGACAATAAACGACCAGTAACTAAAACGGTGTTGCAGCAGTCAGAAAACAATTCGGGACTCAATACATGTCAGCCTACCCAGGCTGTCGAACATGCTTCGATTGAGACACCTTCACAATCTTACCAAACTCATAATAATGCAGCAACTAATTTACCCGCTGCAATTAATGGACAAATTGAACGTTATCCAGGAATAAAAGGTTCGAGACCTAAACATCCCGACTATGCTCTGTTCAGTGTCCGGCAAAGGTCATTTTCATTGTGGCCGGAAGACCATGAAATAGACCCAGTTATTTTATCCCAAGCAGGATTTTACTTTACAGGTTTGTTAAACTTACAGTTATAAAACCTGACGCTGAACGCGATATTTATCCATTTGATACCAAACAAAACTATAAAGATTTTTCATGCTATAAATGACAAATTGTATTATGTGTATTTTCATGACAAGTGAATATAACATTAACTTAAGTTTCAAATTATTTTATCCTCGTATTTAGAAATGAATTTACTTTTCAAAATTACAATTGAATTTTAAAAAAATGTATCATTTATTTCAGGAATGGGAGATTGTGTTCGGTGTTTTTTCTGTGGCGGAGGAATGAAGAATTGGCAGGGAGAAGACAACCCATGGGTCGAGCATGCAAGATGGTTCCCAGATTGTGAATATGTAAAACTCTGCAAGGGCAACTCATTCTCCAACATTTGCAATGCTGCAAAGCTCTTTGATAATACCGTAATAAATGAGGTAAGGTTTTCCTTTTTTTACTTTTCACATAATATATTGCAAAATGTATTATTTAAGAGTTCAATTTTAAAATGATATTAGTGTAAGTAAAGTTTATGCATATTTCATTCTTGTTGCTTGGCAAGATTTAAATTGGTCAAATTTGCTAAAATTCCCGTATATCATTATTCTACTTTACCTAGTTAATCTAATGGAATTTGTTGTATTTTTTTTTAAGTCTCAACAACATGTTGAAAATATTCCTGATGATCAGACCATACTGGATATCAACTGTGTCGCCGCAAAAATTGTTTTAGCCATGGGGTATACTCAATTTGATGTTGAAAACGGTCTCATGTCAGCTCGTAAAAAATATGGTAAGCACATTTAAAAAATGTTTGCCGTTTTATTGTGTCGCCTCTACGGAGTAGTGGCGACATATAGGGATCACTTCTCCGTCGTCTGTCTGTCCGTCTGTCTGTCTGTCCGTCCGTCCGTCTGTCCGTCCGTCAAAAAACTTGTCCGGACTACTCCTCATAAACTACTGGTGCAATTTCATCCAAACTTTACAGGAATGATCTGTACCAAGTCTAGTTGTGCATATTGTCAGCATTTTCCGGTTATGACCCTTTAATAATTTTTATTTCTAAAGTTTGTCCGAACTACTTCTCTTATACCACTAATGCAATTTCAATGAAACTATACAGGATTGATCTGTAGCTCAAGTCCTTGCGCATATTGCACGGGTTTTCCGGTTGAATGATTTTTGGCCGAGTTATGGCCCTTTGATAAAAAGGTGTTTTTTTCTGTATGTTGCCAGATACACAAAAGCTTGTCCGGACTACTCATTATAAACTACTGGTGCAATTTCATCCAAACTTTACAGGAATGATTAGCACCAAGTCTAGTTGTGCATATTGTCAGCATTTTCCGGTTCAATGATTTTTGTCACAGTTATGGCCCTTTAATAATTTTTATTTCTAAAGTTTTTCCGGACTACTTCTCTTATACCACAAATGCAATTTCAATGAAACTTTACAGGATTGATCTGTAGCTCAAGTCCTTGCTCATATTGCACGGGTTTTCCGGTTGAATGATTTTTGGTCGAGTTATGGTCCTTTGATAAAAAGGTGTTTTTTCTGTGTGTTGCCAGATACACAAAAGCTTGTCCGGACTACTCATAAACTAATGGTGCAATTTTATCCAAACTTTACAGGAATGATCAGTACCAAGTCTAGTTGTGCACTGATCGTCTGTCTGTTCGTCTGTCACAAAACTGGTCCCAACATGAAATTAGCCTCATGAGGCGACACATGTGATCACTGATCGCTCTTGTTGATTTTACAAGGAGATTATTCATTTTCCTGTCTTTTTTATTAACATTTTCATCCTGTAAAGATTTATTGCGAATTTATTTTATAGATAATGAAGTAGCAATGACTCCGGATCAGGTGCAAAGAAAATATTTTATTATATTAATTTTATAACAATAAATAATTAATTATATAAGATGAATGAGTATAGAGATTTTTCCAATGTGGACTTTGATAATGAAAAAATGTACACATGTCGTATGATACGAAACTATAAGGAACAAATAATGACTTAAATGCTGTTTGATTCCAGGTTCTTCCGAGATGAAAGCATGGTACATTATTGAATATTTAAAAGAATTAAACATAGAAGTACCGAATAAGCAACAAACAGTCAGTGGAAAACCTGAAATAACTGAACATGAAAGTAATGTGGCCTTCGGTGGAACTAGCAGTGTTCTATATAAAACAGTCAATGACGTCTGTTTTAAAGATACTAACACCAGAATTAAATCAGGTAAATAATATAAGATTTGAAAAAAACATTGTTTATTTAAGCACCCATATAGACAATTTAATTTGAAATAATTTTTTTAAAAGATTTACAGCTTAAAACATCACTTTAAAAGAAGTCTTCTCCTAGATTTATGTTGTTCAATTTCTTATTGTAATGTAAAAGTACATTAGCTGTGAGTACATGATTTCAGAGATGAAACATTTACTTGAGAAAACCGAAAATTGAAGGCTCTGATGACATGTAAAATTTGTTTGGACAAAGAGGCAGTTGTGGCGTTTCTTTCTTGTGGGCATTTAACATCTTGCGAACAGTGTGCAAAGTCTCTGAAAAAATGTGCCATTTGTCGAAAAGATGTTGCAGCGACAGTAAGGGTGTATCAGGCATGAACGGGTCCGTTCTCGGATGGTAAATCAGTGCGATTCTAGAAAATAATAAACAGTAGGACATAAACATAGGAAATATGACACTAAATAAGAAGAAAAAAACTTTGAATAGCTACAGTTGGCAGCACTGTTCCCCCTTCTTTTAGCTGTTTTTATCGTTTAATATTTTCATATCAGCTTGGTATCTGCTTGTTAACCTTTATCAAATTTTTGCCCTAATTTTTTGTCAAGAGAAAAGGCCTAATATTTATAAAAATCTTCTGACAACTATATTTTTCCACAGATTGTCTTCAACAGCATTTATTACCATAACCCTTTATTTAAAAAATCGTCTCTCTCTAGAAAAATCTAGGGAGAGTAGGTCAAAGACAAAGTGACTAATAAAGACATGTTTTAAAGTTTTAACAGCTGAAAGGAGGGCCATAGGACCAACTGTATCTGTTTCAATTTTTATTCTTTTTTTATAAGCACGTGATTATTTCATAAATGTCTCGGCTTTTTGTTATAAAAGACGTACGCTACATGTAATTTCAGGCTTTGAAGATCATGTTCGATGCTTTTGCTGTGGAATCGGTGTGAGGGAGTGGCAGGAGAATGACGATCCCTGGATCGAACACGCTAGGTGGTCCATTACATGTCCGTTTGTAAAAGATAGAAAAGGTGAAGGCTTCATACAGAACATTCAACGTATGCTGGTGCGTTGGTTGATGTTTTCATAATCTTCGTAGTTGTTAATATTTGTAAATTTCATTTACAAAACTTTTGAAATTACAGGAAATATGAATTATAAAAACGAATATTGTTATAATTGTTATGATTGTTGATGCTGTTGTTATAATTGTTGATGCTGTTGTTTTCGTTGTTGATGATGATGTTATTGCTTCTGCTGCTGTTGTTGCTTCCGATGCCGCCACAAACACCATTGCCATTGTTGGTGTTGTTGGTTCTCTTTTTTTCTTCTCTTTTTTAATTTTGCAGTTAATTTTACCGCACTTTTACTTTTGAAAACTCAAAGTGTCAACAATATAAATGTAACAAAATGCATTATTGTCAATTACTGTAACACTTGTCATTAAATTGATCTTGATCAGTGGTTTTCATTATCTATTCTAAAAATAGAATGCTACAAGTACACAAGAAACCGTTCAGACAGACGATAATCCAACAATTTTACAATGTCAGGCTGCAAGCTACCTGTTACGACAAGGCTATTCTGAAGAAATTGTAATAACTGGAATCACACAATTCATATCAATGAATGGTAAATAATCTCATTGTCTTATTGTCTCATTTTTTAATTCCATTCTTATTAGTATCGTCCTCGATTATTATTAGTAGTAGTATAAGTATTATCATAACCACCGCCATCATCATCATCATGTTTATTCAAATACTTAATTTGCACCAGAAGAATTCTAAATGTTTTTACTGTTTATTTCTATATATCACAATAATCATCATCATCATAATGTTAATCAAATACTTATTTTACCCGAGAAGAACTATGTTTAAATGTTTTGACTTTTGATCATAATCATTATAATTGTTATCATTATTTTCATTTAAAAGAGAACACGATTTCTAAGTACGGTCATGAAAATATTTTTAGAAAAAGGATATATTACGTTTACCTATTTCTCCTCTAATTTGCATTTTGTAGTTTAGTCGGTTAATCAACTATTGTCAATGGACATAATTATTCCAATTAAAATAATATTCTAAATGTACAAAAATTTGTTCATAAGTAAAATATTAAAGGAGAAAAAGTATTTTTATATATTTGGGTATAGGCTAGTTTATTTGTATTTCCGGGGTATGAACAGATGGTAAATTCACCACTAAATGTGATCGAATTCGTACAAATGGCTCAGCCAAACCTTGTGGATCCAAACAACCAAACTGATTTGTCCAGCTTTGCTTTAGTAATTAATGGTGTAAGTGGAGAACTTCAAAACACTGACAGTGGTAAATACGTATTTATTTAATGAAAAATATCGATGATCAAGTGTTTTTTATCTAAAGTTTTAGTTTTTCTATAAATGATTATAATATATTACAGACCCATCAATCAAAGGGACCAATGTCTTCAGGCATTTGCCGAGTCCGTTTTCCTACGAGACCGTTGTCTTAAGAAACTATTTTTTTCCTGAAACTTGGGCGATCTTTTAACACAAACAATACATTTTGAAAATGTATAAAATAATGTATAAACTTATCTGTTTTGATGACCTATATAAATGATGAATTAAAATGAGAACGGGTTTCGATGTTTTTCATGTTGTAAAGATTGTTTCATGTGGAATAATTTGTCACCGAATTAGCAAAACATAAGCAATTTTGTATAAAGTACTAAGCCACTGTAATTTTACTAGTGGTCAAAAAAGCAAAGGATGGTAATGAGTACAGTGTTAGATACTATAACGAAATTCTTTTGAAAAATAAAAATGAAAGAATTTTTGTCGATGGGGACTTAACGGGCCTTTTATATAATTAATTTCGCCACGTGACAATTAAAACAAGAAACTTGCCATATTGAATAATGACCATCTATTATAATATGGTCTAATTATGATCAACATCCAAATACGTATAATGGAAAGATACATTCCGTGTACAATTTAACAATTTCATATGTTTGTAATATTTCAGAATTGTACCAACTAAGACGACGGGTTCTGGAACTAGAGACCCGATTACTTTGCAAAGTTTGCTTGCAACATGATGCGTGTATATTGTTCCTTCCCTGTGGTCACATGGCCTCGTGTGTTGAATGTTCACATGCGTTGAATACATGTGCGATATGCAGAGCTGGTATTCAGGGAAAGATGAGGGTTTTTCCTGGTTAAACTTGGCCATTAGAAATACGTGTGCTCGTGTGCTTTTTATGCTGTATAAAAACGTGCGCGTAACTGCGTGTGTGGTGCGTGTGTGCGTGATTTTGTTTTGTTATCATGAATCTCATTTCAAATAAAATAAGTCATTAAAATTATTTTGAGTTTTTCGTTGTTCTTTTTTCACCAATTTCAAATACATTGACGAATGTTTGTATAGATCTGCGCAGTAAATTAATGTTGTTGAATGTTACGACACGAAAATTCCATACTATATATTAGTTCTGTTTTATCCTATGACAGGACGATTTTTAATGCGTTTATTTAAGGTCGCCGCCGGAAAGCCCATATGGGCGGCCGTACACTCAAGTCGGGCCATCCTAGAGCGTCCCGCCATGACAGGACGAGTACGCTTAAGTCAATGTCGTATTGTGCATGGAATCTGACACCATAATTATGTCGTTCTTACTTAGTGCTGACACGCTCGTAATGCCTTGGACATTAATTAATTCCATTCCCGATTAAAAGACATATCATCTTTTAATAAGCAAATGACCAACAATAAAACATCAAATTTGAGCATCAACACAGTATATAAAACAAGGCATCAGACCCGTTTCAAAATCTAACCAAAAATAAAAAGCACACGTGTGTGGCCTGGATAATAGTATGCGTTATTGTTCGTGAAGTTGGTGGTCTAGCAGCCTAAAGTTGAAAGCCTATAGCCAACTTCACGAGCATGCATGCATTAAACCATTGTCGTTGATCAAAAATTGAATGCAAACATTTTCATGTTGTGATGAGCGCCAGCCATCATTAACCTCATAGCTATCATACTATATGAATGTCCTTACTTTTTAGAGGAACACAGTTCCTTTACAAAGTGTCCATGTTTATAAAAAATCATGTCGAATTAACAGAACGAATTGTTGTGAGTTTAATTAAGTGGTGGACATGAAGCGGAGGAAATCTAACGATAAAATTATATTATCATATGGCAATGGCATTCAGATTGTTATGCTTTGGCACAAACATTTATATTCATGAATTTTATTTCCTTAAACAATATGGCTAAATCATCATCAAAATTACAATCTTGCTATGTAACTCGACCCATCATAAATATAGCTTTCTACATGTAAATATTAATTTTTGTCTGTAATTGTCGGTTGTTTTGTGGCAATATATTAATGTTATAGAATATATTTGTTTTGTTTAAACCACAAGCCTTTTAAAATATTTTTTAATAAAATAGGAATAACATACATAGCTTGAGGACCTTCAAAGCGTAATTTTTAATTTATAAGTACGCATACATTTCTAGCCACACGTCAAAAAAAAAAATAAATAAATAAAAATGAAAATAAACGGATATGTGGAATTGATTAATTTACAAGTACATCTACACAGTTCATACACCATAGACTATTCAATTGTACAACATGCGAATTAGTAGTAAAATGAGAATGTCAGAATATTTACATTTTTTCTTTTATGTAAATGGTTGATGAAAATAGAAAAATGCAACTTAGTTTTACCAGTAATATAAATTTGGGACATGTTGTCCAGTTCCAATTTTATTCAAAGCTGAGATTATAGCGGGCCATGGTAAAGCTTACTCCAGTATACTCTTTTTAGCTTCATTTTTCGGACGGTATACTTATGCTATTCATATCGGTAACATTATAATTTTACTCAGTCGAACCGTGATATAATCGATAATGTGGAGCAATACCATGACCCCCCTACCTGTAGCCGCCACGAAGAGTGATAAAAATTGTTCAAATTAAATTTCCACATTAATTTTAAAAAAAAAGGAAAAAAACCAATATAAACATATAAATAAAATAATATTCATTCATAAAGATGAGAAATTTACTTAATGTAAAATGATCTGTATTTAAACGTTAATTCATATAAAAAATATATAACTTCCTTCTCAATCTGAAAAGTATGTCCATTAATTCATATGTAAAATATAAGTTCATAACTAAAATAAAATCAAAAGTAAAATGAAAGTTCAGGTTTTTGTGAATCAATGCGAGTGGTAAGTATATACATGTATCTGTTAAGTATTATATAAACGTGCGAAGACTAAAATGCTATTATTTCTTTCCCAAAAAAAAGATAAAAGTGAAACCAAAGTATTCTACACGATCGACATGTAGTTCTATTTCATATGAATTAACATGTATATTTATATATTTTCAGTAATCCTAATTTATTAGATGGTTTCCCTTACAGATAAGTCTATAAATAGATTATCGGGATTTTCCCATCTAAAAATACTCTTCGGGGCGAGTATAAATATTAACGCAAATACACACACAGTCATCATTAACACTCTATGGTTATAGACGTTACTGCGTGAATATGGATACAATTTCGCAAATTATAGTTCCAGAAACTGCAAGTGAAAAACAATTATATGGTGCGCGAAGGAAACATATGATAAAGGGAGATGCAATGAACGCAGAATGGGCAAGATTTCAATCATACGCAAACTTTCCGAGGGAGTCAGTTGCTAGACCATTACGGTTGGCTAATGCAGGATTCTATTACAGTGGATCAGGAGAAGAAGTTGTATGTTTTTGTTGTGGGCTGAGAACTGGTGTTTGGACAGAGGATGAGACACCATTAGATGTTCATCAGCGCCTTTCTCCACATTGTAGGTTTATTTGTGGTGAAGAAACTACTGATGTTGCCATAAATGGAGAAAATAGGCTGAAATCAGTTACAAATTGTTCAAAAGCTTCAGATTTAACCAATGACAATAAAAGACCAGTAACTAAAACAGTGTTGCAGCAATCAGAAAACAATTCGGGACTCAATACATGTCAGCCTACCGATCAGCCTGCCGAACATGCTTCGATTGAGACACCTACACAATCTTACCAAACTCATAATAAAAGAACAACTAATTTACCCGCTGCTATGAATGGACAAATTGAACGTTATCCAGGAGTAACAGGTTCAAAACCTAAACATCCCGACTATGCTATGTTCAGTGCACGACATAGGTCATTTTCAATGTGGCCGGAAAACCATGAAATAGACCCAGCAATTTTATCGCAAGCAGGATTCTACTTTGCAGGTTTGTACAACTTACATTTATAAAAGCTGACGCTAAATGCGATATTTATCCTTTTGATACCAAACAAACTATAAAGATTTTTCAAGCTATAAATAACAAATTGTATTAAGTGTATCTTCATGAAATAACGTGTATTTTTATGACTTAACAAGTGAATATGATGTAACATTAACTTAAATTTCAAATTATAATACACATACATATTTTTCAAAATTACAATTCAATCTAACAATGCATCATTTATTTCAGGAATGGGGGATTGTGTTCGGTGTTTTTTCTGTGGCGGAGGAATGAAGAATTGGGAAGGCGAAGACAACCCATGGGTCGAGCATGCAAGATGGTTCCCAGATTGTGAATATGTAAAACTCTGCAAGGGCAACTCATTCTCCAACATTTGCAATTCTGCAAAGCTCTCTGATAATGCCGTAATAAATGAGGTAAGGTTTTCCTTGTTTACTATTTTACTCTTTTTTTCCACATAATATGTTGCAAATTGTATTATTCAGGAGTTCAACTTTAAAGTGATATTATTTTGAGTAAAGTTTATAATTATTTTCTTCTTGTTGCTTGACAAGATTTATAGCTGAAATTATTATTTCCGTATAACATTATACTACTTTACCTAGTTAATCTAATGGAATTTGTTGTATTTTTTTTTAAGTCTCAACAACATGTTGAAAATATTCCTGATGATCAGACCATACTGGATATCAACTGTGTCGCCGCCAAACTTGTTTTAGCCATGGACTATACTCAACATGATGTTGAAAACGGTCTTATGTCAGCTCGTAAAAAATATGGTAAGCATATTTCAGAATTGTTTGCCGTTTAATTGACATTGCAAGGAGATTTTTCATTTTCCCCTCTTTTTTATTACATTGTCAGCTTTTAAAGAGTTATTGTGTATTCTGTAACAGTAATAACTTTTTATCTAAAACTCTGGAACAGTGGCAATGAAATATTTTACTTTATTAATTTTATTACAAAAAATAATTAAGATGTATGGGTATAGAGATTTTTCCAATATGGTTTTAAATAATAATAATAATGATAATAATAATAATAATAATGATATTAATAAAATAATGTACACATTTCGTATGATAGGTGAATATAATGAACAAATAATTACTGAGTTGCTCCTTGATTCCAGGTTCTTCCGAGATGAAAGCACAATACATTATTGAATATTTACAAGAGATAAACAAAGAAGTGCCGAATAAGCAACAAACAGTCAGTGGAAAACCCGAAATTACTGAACACGAAAGTAACGTTGCCTCCGGTGGAACCAGCAGTAATCTATATAAAACAGTCAATGACGTCACTGTTAAAGATACTAACACGAGAATTAAATCAGGTAAATAATATAAGATTTGGAAAAAAAACATTGTTTATTTAAGCACCCATATAGACAATTTAATTTAAAATAAAAAATTGAAAGGTTTACAGCTTTAAAAAAATCACTTTAAAAGAAGTCTTCTCCTAGTTCTATGTTGTCCAATTGCTTATTGTAATGTAAAAGTACATTAGCTGTGAGTACATGATTTCAGAGATGAAACATTTACTTGAAGAAAACCGAAGATTGAAGGCTCTGATGACATGTAAAATTTGTTTGGACAAAGAGGCAGTTGTGGCCTTTCTTCCTTGTGGGCATTTAACAACTTGTGAAGAGTGTGCAAAGCCTCTGAAAAAATGTGCCATTTGTCGAAAAGATGTTGCAGCGACAGTAACGTGTATCAGGCATAAACGGATCAGTTCTCGGATGGTAAACCAGTGCAATCCTGGCATCGATTCTAAATCTTGAAAGAAAAGTGACACATATCAAGTTTCGCTCACAGAGACTGTGAGAAAGTGGTTCGTGACGGGGAGGTACGTACTTGGTTCAAGTAGGAGATCGTGTGTATATATAGCGGGAGAGACAAAGTAGAGAGAAAAAGAATCCAACGAAGATCATAAAACATTCAGTTATGTGTGAATGAAAGAAACTGAATATGATATTAATTTTATAGAAGTTTTTTGCAAAGAATATGTTTTACAATGGAAGGCAGCTAGCAAAGAAACTGATTGACTCTTTACACCAATCAGTATTATTTATATTTATATCAGTATTATTTATATTTATATGATTGCACTTACAATACTTATACTTGTATTATTTAATTTCTATGATTGTACTTCTTACATTACTTGTATTAATATACATGTATTTATATGATTGCACATACATTAATTATACTTGTATTATTTTTATTTTTATATTTTAGATTTATTGTGGTTATAATATAAGAATTTAAAGACCTATAGTTTACAAAATTTTGTTTTGAATTAAAAGAAAATTCCAACTGTCTGTCAGAAAGTATTATGTTGTTATATTTCTTTTTGAATGAATGGGACATGCACTATATTATAAAGGGGCAAAAAAAAAACTTTCAAAAATCAATTTAACTGAGCCGACAAAAATTCAAGCGGAATGTCGAGATAGAATGCGGCACTAGGTTTTGTGACAAACAACCCTGTGAAGTTTCACTGAAATCCCGAGCGGTTTTGGAGATGGAGCACGGACAAACTTATTTGACTCAAGTATAGACCATTAAGGGGCCATAACTGTGCCAATAAATCAAGCAGACTATCAAGAGAGTATGCACAATAAGGCATGGTGACAAACAATCCTGTGAATTTAAGCTCAAATCCAACAGCGTTTTTGGTGATGAAGCACGGACAAGCTTATGTAATAAGAAAGGAGCCATACTTGTGCTAAAAAATAAGCGGAAAATCCAGAGTGTATGCACAACTAGGCAGTGCAAATGCTTAGTGACAAACACTCGTGAAGTTTCACGGAAATACCCCATCGGTTTTGATGATGAAGCGTGGACAAGATTATCGGACGGACGAACAGTGCGATTCCTACATGTCGCACTTCGGGAGCATACAAAACCTATGCATCTCCTAAGTAAATATTTTTTGACAACACATACAATATATCTAATTTTGCTCCTTCTGCATTTTCCGTATGATTTTACTCATGTCACATATCTATTTCAGATAAACATTAAATTGTGCTATAAACCACGCCAGAAAATGATATAATAAGATTATAACCTTAAAATTCTGGAATCAAAGTGATCCCTCGGGAGCATTAAAAGTTTACTTCCAGGATATGGCTGGTTATATAAGTTTATCTGATGTTTATACAAATTAAATAGTTAAATTGGAAGAAACCCCGTTTTTTTCCTGAGTTTAAAGATACAGGTCAAATATTTTGGTATATTTCTATCAGAAGATTATTACTTAACGAATAATTTAAAGTATAGGGGGGATCCGTGTGTCTCTTACCGAGTTTTAAAGTATGTTTTTCTTGGGAATATTGATGAACTTTGAACATCAGAAATACTTCTCATTATTTTTTTATTTGAAAGGCATCCTTAGAAAGCTTTTTAAAAATTTCTTCCATTTCATAAAACAACATTAAAATTGAATATGCTAGTAGCGGCGACGTGTTGTCTTTCAGTTTTATTGAGAAATACCTGAAAAAGTCCGGTTTTATAGCTTTCAAAATGATTTTTATTTATTTATATTTTTTCTTCTTATCGAAAGACAATATAAATGATTATTTAACTGCTACGTATCAACACTGGTAACAGCTGAATAACAAATACATTTATATTCTTGTTTTATGTTTCCATTTACTTATTTATATTTTGTATATCAAAAAGGTAAAAACATGAATTTCGTTCATGGAGAAGTGTCATATTTCTTATCTTATATTTTTCCTGAAGTACTTCCTCAACGCCGATAAATTATATAAGAAGTACGCCCGATAGATTTTTTTTCAATTTTTTAACATTTTTGAAGTTCCCAAAACTGAAACACTTAACTTTAAATTTAAATTTACTACGTTGTTCAATATTGCAAAAAAAAAATCCCGTGATCATTATTATTAAACATGCCATCATAAATTGTCTACTTGTATACTGTAATAGAAACGTGATTGGTAGAAAGTCAGATTAAGCCATTGAAATACAATCTAACATTAAAAACCTTCGTCTCCTTTGCATGGGGTGTATAGACATTTTTGATTATATCTGTTCTGTATACGGACAAAATTAAATGCCTTTCTCGTCTGGTATTTGTTGGTTTAAAAATTCAAATTAGTGTTGATTTTGTTAATCCAAATTTCTAGTTGTGGATTAATATCGACTGAAGATGAACCCTATGCCCGTCGACCTAAAACACCAACGTCTGCCAAGATTGTTGATAAAGTCAAGAGAAATAGTCAATACAAATGCAATATACACCACTAGGCTAATACACAGTATCACTGGCATCTCACGAGAAGCAGCACATAGCATTCCCAAACGTGGTTTGAAAATTAGAAAGATAAGTGTTATTTTTATCCCTACTTGCTAACATATGAGCCAAAAACGGATCGCGTGCGATGCGCGAAGGTATTGCTTAAATAGTAACCAAATTACAATGCACGGTCTTTTGCAAACGTCGTCACGGGTTACATATTAATGAGCCAAAACGATAACACCAGATAAAGAGTAGGCTACTAAGTCTGCCAAAACACCATGCATTGTCAAAAAAAAAAAAAAAAAAGATTTATAAAAACATCAGCTAAACTTAAAGGCAAATATGTTTATGCAATTTTTCCAAGGCAAAAGTTGTTCAAAAATCGAAAACGGAAATCCGCAGAAAATTTGGCGAAAGGACAAATCGTCACCGCACATACTCACAAACAAAATATCGTTTATTATAGTAGCCACAATTGGCTACCTTAAATAGACATATGTTTGTGTGCTAATTCGACTATGTAGCGGTGTTTTACGAAAAAAGTGTGACGAAAAAAAAAAACTCGAAAGCTTTAAGCCGCGACATTTTATACAATATCGGCATAAAATATCGCGGATTTAATAATTGCATTCGACATATCATAAACTGATGGCTCAATAAACGTTCCTATCGATCAACATATTTCACAGATTTTTATAACTTTCAAACAGAGTGCAACGCTTGCCATAGCAAGGCCAACTCAGAAAGGTCCTCTATTCGAGTGCCTTTTTGCCTTATGTGGAAGTAGACTTACCAGTAAAGCTGGAAGGGCGTCGTTATGATTTTGACTATGCTGGTGTGACGTAAATCACAACTAAAACAAAATTGCGTTTTATATCAAACTAGCTGTTACTACCGGTAACTGCAAATATTCAATATTTCATGTATATTCAGCTGATTAACAATCGGTACTATAAATTTAAGGAAACCCTTCCTTTATATATTTATTTTTTCTATTACATACTTGTAGGTGAAATATAATGTCATAAATTGAACACAACATTACAGTAAGTGTGTGTGTGTCAATAATATGGAAATATTTAACAAAGTGGGGGGTTTAATAAAATGCCAGTCATTGTTTGCATGCAAGACCTCTGTAAACATTGAAAACAAAATATATAGTCATCCTTAAAGTATCCATAAGATTGTAAGAAGGACCTGTCGTAAAAATATAAAAATAAGATTGCGTGGGCTAAATGACGCAAAAAAAGGTCTCAGTTTTCTTTGTAATATGACTAAGTAAAAATAATATAGCTGTTTAAAACTGACACGAGTAATGTGCTTGCGCGGCCGAGTGGTTAACTCGCCCGACTAGTGATCTAAGGATAGATGTCCGCGTGGATGGAGCAGCCGAGTTCGAGAATGTTTCAATAAGCTTAAATCTTCTAATACAATCGAACTACAATAATTTCGTATAAAGTAAACTAGAAAAAGATAATTGCTTCGTTGACATGTCGTACACCCAAATTAAGACTTACGGCAAATTACGACGACTCTTTGCTAAGTAATTTTATGAATTCAGCATAATATTTCTTTAAGTTATTTTAGCCGCATTTATTTAAAAAATAGTCTTCAGTGTTCTAAATACAATGTCAAAGGCATTAAAGAAAATATTTAGAAAAAAAATCAATGATAATTAAAGCCAGGTGGCAGCCATTCTCATCACTACAAAGTTACCCTGATGGATATATTGTATTTTTTTGAATAATTTAAAAAAAAACCTGGACTGTATTTACAATAATATTTCAGTGGTAGAACCTCACTCTGTTTTTAGTATTTTATGTATGAACATAGGCTTTTCAATATTCAAATTCTAATGAATTTTGTTATGGCTAACAGTATAAGTCAAACAGAAATGATAAGATAATTTTTCTTATTGATTGGTACTCCTCAACTGAGAAGTCTAGTTAAACGAATTTGATTTTTTTAAGGTTTCCACCAAAACATGTATTAAAATAATTTATAATAACATTTAGAACGAAAAATAACAAGTTTTCGTAGGAAAATATGTATTGGAATAGCTCAAACGTTAAAAATAAACGAATCTTTAAAAATAAGTTGTATATCATTTATTTATTTCTCATAATATCATTTGAAATACTTTTCTTTCGGTTGATTTTTTAGTTCCTAATCATTCAAATAACATTAACTATACATATCCGAATAATTGCTTACTTAAAAAAATATGGATTACCTTCCAGCATACAAAGGACTTATTGATCTTATAGATAAAAAAATCCGCCAAAAATTATTGTGAATTGATTTAATATTTTCGTTTAATAATAATCACTTCCACGAATGTTTCACAAATTTACTTCGGCTAATATATGACTAATGCAATACGTTAAGCTGAACCAACTTTTTGTTCAATTAACTGTCACTGTGTTATGCAGTTGCATTTTACAATAGTAGCTGTAAACTATTTGTTCCTTCACAGACTAGTGGCGACATTTATGGACCATTTTTGCGTCGTCTGCCTCTCCGTCCGTCATAAAACTTGTCCGGACTACTCCTCAAAAACTCGTGCAATTTCATCTAAACTTTACAGAAAGGGTCAGAACCAAGTGTAGATTTGCATATCATCGGCATTTTTCTGTTTCAATGATTTTTGTCAGAGATATGGTCCTTTCAAGCAGTATGCATCCAGATTAATGTTAATTATTAATTATAAATGATCATTTTGAAAATGTAATTGAACGTATGATATTGTGTAGTAACCAAAAGGAAGCAAATTTCACATCATCCAAGAAACCTGCAACCC